AAAATGTTTGAAGCACTAATTACAAAAAAATTGTCTTTAATTATGACTCCCCTCATTTCTAATAACCAACATGGTTTCAGACCCAAAATGTCAGTTTCTACAAATATTCTACTTTTTCAGGAGAAAATCCTTTCGGCTTTAAATCAACGTGTTCAATTGGACACTATTTATATAGACTTTCAGAAAGCGTTTGATAAAGTAAACCACAATATTCTATTACATAAATTATCTTGTGTTGGTATTCATGGTACATTTTTTAATTGGTTAAAATCTTACCTATGTTCTCGTACCCAGGTGGTTAAAATTAATAGTTTTATTTCTAATGAATTTTTGGTTACTTCTGGTGTACCACAAGGGTCGCACTTAGGTCCCCTCTTATTCATACTATTTATAAATGATTTACCATCTATTTTTGATAGCTCAGTTAATATTCTATTATTTGCTGATGATGTGAAATTATTTTAAGTTATTAAATCACCAAAAGATGCAATAAAATTGCAGTCAAATTTAGATAAATTTGTTGAATGGAGTTATGTTAATCACCTTCCATTAAATATAAATAAGTGTAGTGTGATAACGTTTTCCCGAATAAATAATATAATCACCTATAATTATTTGATTGATAGTAATATAGTTACAAGAGTTGCATCTACCAGAGACTTAGGGATAATCTTAAATTTTAATTTGGATTTTTCAACCCATATTAACACCTTTATTAAAAAAGCTTTTAAGATGCTTGGTTTTATTAATAGAAGCACGATAAATTTTAAAAATACTAATGCCTTAAAAACTTTATATTTTTCCTTGGTTAGATCTCATCTTGAGTATGGATCAATTGTTTGGTCACCACACTATATATCATATACCAGTCGAATTGAAAATGTTCAGTATAAGTTTTTAAAATTATTATGTTTTAAATTAAATATACCCATCTTAAGAGAATCATACAAGTTGCAGATTTCCCAATTGGGGATCGTGTCTTGTGATTTGAGGAGAAATGTTGCGGATATAATGTTCCTATATGACTTATTAAATGGTCTTATTTATTTATTTAGCACCTCCTTTTTTTTTCTTTCTTCTTTTATATGAATATATTTATATCTAAAATAGTAATTATAAATTTTTTAATTAAATAATTAAAAAAATGTTGTTATATTATACATGGCCTCTTTTTTTTTTCTCTATACTTTTCCCTCATTTTTATTAATATTGGTTTTTTTTTGTTTTTATCAAAACCTAGTAGCTCCGTCAAAGAGTACTATCTTGTTTGGCGCGGCTACTAGGTCATTGTCCAGTGTTCCCCTTGGGCAGTGGGTAATTAGTAGGCCCTCTGTTTTGGCTGAAACCTTACAATTTTTAGATAATTGATGTATGGTGAGGCCAATAAAATCTTGAAAAAAACCTTTTTGGTACTCACATCACTTAGTCCTGTCCCGCTTCAAATATCTCCATGATGTACAAATTTTGTAAATTTTTATTTTTTATATTATTTGTCTGATAAATAAATAAATAATTTTTATAATTTTTTTATTAGGGAAAATATCCATTTCGTATGAGCAAGATTTATACCAAACATCACCCAACGTTACCATATGGTTGTTGGAAAGTTGTTATAGATATTTAGAAACCAGAAATAAACAAAGCCGAAAAAATTTGTTTAGTGTTTAATTCTGAACATTTATTGAAATCAAACCATTCAATGTGTGAATAAAACAAAATAATTATTAAATATATTAGCGCATTCAGCATTTCATACTAGAACAAAGGATTTTAATTTTGAAAAAATAGATATGCACTTTAATACTAAAAATAAATAATGTAAGGTTAACCTTCTATAATATTTCCTGACTTTTGTGAATGGATTTAAAATTTTGCACGAGAAGTATTATATTATATTTGTATATAATATAATATTTATATTTAACATTACAGAATTTTTTCATCCTTTAAGGGTTGAAATATGAATTTTCCTTTAAATGTCATTTATGTCGTCTATTCCCAGCTATTGGATATGTTGATGAAACCTACAGTAAAACTTTGCAACCAAGACTATTATTGTTGTAAAAAAATAAACAAATACAAAAGATAACGCAAAATATTTTTTTTTTAAATTGACGATTAAAACGAGGCATTTATTTGCATTATACCAAATAGACATCATGTTCACGAAAAAAAAAATGTAATAATTATTTATTAACTGCATTTAATAATTAATTATTAGTTTATTTAATTCAAAACGACTTCTACAGAAAATTTTAATAAATTGACTTATACAATTTATTTATAACTATATTTAGTTTTAAATTATTTCACTTTTGCCAGGAAACACATAATGTATTACTTTATAAAGTATATTAAAATTTTAAAAATTGAATACGAAAATGTTCTAACGAATTAAGCATTCTATTTAAAAAGCATATCATATCAGTTAAAAATTATTAGAAGCCGCAATTATGAACAGCAAGTAAAAAGAATAAAGCATTTTATTAAGAACTAAAAATACCTGATATTTTATTTGTAAAATTAACATATAAAAATTATTGTTTTTATATGGAATTAATTATTTGTTTATGTAATTACTGATTCTTTTATCATGGATCTCTCAATTAATCGAATTATATAAATCATTTCAAAAATATTTATTTTGGCTGATATTAGCTGGCGATTAAAAAGTATTTTAAGACATTAGTTGCCTAGATGATAAATAAAAATTGCACAATGATTTAAAAATATATTATTAATATTGTCATCCAAACTCTATTGCATTGAATCTGAATAAATGTTGTAATATAATTTTTTTTTAAAAAGAAATTCTGTTAAATTTGATTATTCTCTAAGACGTATAAACTAATAAGATTTTCTGCACTTGATCTTGGAGTAATATATGACTCTAAACTTTCTCTTAATGTCCATGTACATTAAAAAAAAAAAAATTACGACAGACTAGGTTTTTTTAACGTTACTGTCAGCATTTTAGAAATGAAGTTGTGTTGAAAATTTTATATAATTCATTTTGGTTCTTATATTAATTATGCTTTCTTATTTAGCACCCATTTTTAGTAACACAAATTCAAAATTTGAACAATATACAATATAATTTTATTACATTCTTATGTTATCAATGTTTAATTTATAGAGTTCTACATATCGATTATTATATTACAGTACGTTTTTTTAATATCCAAACACTTCAACAGAGATTTTTGCAATCAAGTTGAAATTTCTTTATAAATTTCTAAACAATATAATAGCCGCACTAAATTATTGCAAGATCAATGTTAAAATAAATCCAATATATTGTCCCACTTCTAATGTATTTTGTATTTTAATATTGTAATATACATATACATAATTGTATATTGATAATACAAATATAAATTATTATTAAAATGCATTAAATATTTAAATGTCAGTAAGAAATTCTATAAAAAAAAAAACTTAATTTTTTTTTTTTGTAAATCATCAAATATTTTTCTGTCAAATTTGTTAAAACATATATAAAATTCTGTAACTGATATAAAATGTTAGATATGATAAATATGTTAACATTTATGTTTTAAAAAAAAATGTACAGGATTTTTAATCAATTTTTTTTACTCTTACTGTTATTAACATATGATTTTTATTATTACCATAATTTTTGGCCGACCCCAAGTAGTTGGGATTAAGGCGAAGAATAAGAAGTAGATTATTACCATATATTTAATATATACATGTTATTATTAAAATATTTGGACGGAAATTATGATCATATTTTGGTAAAACCAGTTTTTATTTTACTGCAAAATCATTATTTGGATTGTTCTAACAATTACGCCGTCGCATTTTATAATCACTTATCTTCTTAACAATTAAAAAATACAATTGCTTAACTGTTAAAATTGTATTTCAATAAAAGTAATTTAAATATTGAAGGTCGGGTATGATTTCCAATCAAAATATTTAAAAATAATAATTATAAATTGTAAAAATGAAACTACTTAATGATTTATAAATATTTTTAACAATTGTTAAAAAAATTGACATTGAGTATATGATAGCAGGAACACATTAAACATTTTTATTATTATAATCTGTGCAATAGTTTTGTACCAAGTGGCTTATAATAAAAGAATTCAACGAATTAACTCTCCATGACAATCATGACTTTATCATATATAAACGTTGTCTATGTTGACATTGGGATCACTTCGTGTTTGCTCGTCAAAATAAGCTATCATCTCGTGTAAGCATTCAGTTATTCAGTTCCCAAGAACATGATGAAGTCATTAAAAGTACATAAAAAAATTTAAACTACATTTCGATTATTGAAACAATTATTTTATACTTTAAACTCTTAATACTTAAAGAATTAGAAGCTAATAATGAACCTTTAAATGACGTTACAATACCTGAAGTGTCTACTGATAAAGTAAAAGAAACACTAGAAGAGAAAATAATTCATTTAGAACCCGCAAAATATGAAGTAAAAGAGCAACTCCTAGAGATATCCTCTTCTGAAAGTTCAAATTTAAAAAGAAAGTCACCCGATAAAGATGAGAAAATCATAAAAAGTACACAATAATTTTTTTTATAAATATTAACTTGCATATTATGTTTATTGAAATTATTTTCTTATATTTTAAAACATTTAGAGGCAAAAATTAGTTCTGAACTTTTACATGCGACAACGTCAAATGACGTTACATTACCAGAAGTGTCTACTGATAAAGTAAAAGAAACTCCAGAAGAAAAAATAACTCATTTAAAACCCACAAAATCCGGAGCAAAAGAACAACTACAAGAGTTCTCATCTTCTGAAAGCCCAAATTTAAAGAGAAAATCATCCGAAAAAGATCAGAAAATCATAAAAAGTAGACAATAATTCTATTTTAAAAATTTGACCTTTCATTAGTTTATTGTAAGATTTAAGCACTATCTTTATACATTAATTTTTTAGAGTCTAAATTTAGTTCTGAAGTTTCGTCTTCAAATATGAATGACGTGANAGTTTCGCCTTCAAATATGAATGACGTGTTGCCTGCCGTGTCCGTTGTCAAAATTGATGAAATACCAAAGAAAGAAATAGGTAAAGTAAAATTATTTTATTTTATTGATTTCATTAATATTTATTTCACATAGAAACATCCATAACACATATTTTGTTTAACTATGTTTAATCTTATATTTCAAAACCTAGGAGTAATTTTACTCATATTAAACCATTTAGCTAGCTTAAGTAATTTATGAGAAGTTTTTAACTCTTGTAGAAGTGACGCATGATCCGAACACAAATGAACTAGATCAGTATAACGCGCCTTCGTTTAAGTCCCCTAAATCTTGGTACACTTCGGACACAATTAATGATTATCTTAAATTGATAGTGAAAAGGTCCAATGGCGAAGTTCATGCAGTCGTTACCGACTTTATACCAGCATATCTTCGAGGAGGTTATCCAGCTGTAAGAAGATGGATTAAAAAAGATATCCATTCATTAAAGTTACTTTTTGTGCCAATGAATGTTGGCGGACATTGGATATTGACTGTGGTAAACGTACCCGAAAGAACTGTGACATCATATGACAGTCTTAAGTGTTATGATGGTCCTTATCCTATGGTACTGAAGGAGTATCTAACTGACTGGGAGATGGATAAAAAAGGAGCAGCTTCGTCGTGGACTTTAAAAATCGGCGAGACGACTCGTCAAACCAATGGATATGACTGTGGTCCATTTACGGTCGAGCTAGCCGAAAAAATGGCTCGAGGAGACACAACTCCTATTAATGCGAGTCTTAGGCCTTCTGTAAGACTAAGACACAGAGAAGAAATTATAGCCGGCCAACTATTTCAATAATTTCTTATGAAAGATATTGCTTAAATGGCTTATATAAAGTTTCTAATTTTTACATTAAATTGATATTTTTGTTAATACGCTTTTATACTTCCTAACAGTTTCTTACGTTTTATAAGCTTAGTGTTATTATTATTTTTTGTGATTTTTCTTTGTTGCATTACTTTATTAAATAAATTAATTTATTAATATAAAGTTATCTTAAATAAAATAATTTTATGTTCAAATGCTATGTTGATTGAATTCAAAAACTGCGTAATAAATAATAATGTAAAAATAATTTTAATGTAAATGAATTTATATACTTTCTTAATAACATCTATCGACAAATTAAAGTAGTACTAAATAGGTGGAACTAAATTTATTTATGTATTTTTCTAACATATTGAAACTCATTAGTNTTTATTTATGTATTTTTCTAACATATTAAAACTCATTAGTAAAAAATAAATAAGATCGTCTTCAAAATTCTTTTATTACACATCGGTACTATTCAATAAAAAAAATTATTTATATTTTTCACTAAAAATAAACGTCATAACCTCTGTTTTCGTTCAATTATAGTGTTCGAACTAGCGATGTAGAATAAAAAATTTTTGGCGAAAAAAATAAAATAAAGATTCCCTCTCATNACAAAATAAAATAACGATTCCCTCTCCCAAAAACAACATTTTTTTTGGTTGCGACACTGATTCCATTCACAGTAAATCAGTGTCCAGTCACAGTTGGAAACTTTTAAGGCTATCATTATAGTTAGTGTAAGGTGTGTTTTAATGATTTCATTATTAACAGGTTTGGCGAGCAGCATTAAAAATTCTTAAGCGATGCCCAGGAGTTGGACGCACAAGAACCGGTTTTATCAGCAAAATCATTATGTCGACGCTAATGTTTTCGCTGCACAAATGCAAAATGCATGTAATTATAATTTTTATGTAAATCATATGGTAAAAAAACTGTTTAAAAATTATAATTCCGCACACAAATTATTTAAAATAAAATATAAATTTTAGAGGAACAAATTTAATAAATATATTCATGTGTGCAGAAATTTGCAGAAAGACTTATATCGTTTATGATTTTTTTTTCGAAGTCATCGTTTAACGGCAAATTAAATAGTAGTAGAAATTAATTAGAAACAAAATTTAGAAAACATTTTTCGATCAACAGGTTTAGCTTATCTGTAGCGGATAATTGAAGAAAACCTCCCGATTTAATTGTGATCGTCAAAAATCCAGTTGGCTATAAAAGCGTAAATTCTGCTANTCAAAAATCCAGTTAGCTATAAAAGCGTAAATTCTGCTGCCCCGTATTATAAGCCTTTATATAATGTACCACAAAAGTCATAAACAGGGATTGGGCGTCTTGAATGTGTCATACTTTTTATAGGCACATTCAGTAATCATTCTACATTTCATAAAACTTTATAAAATTTCATAAAAATTGAAAAAAATTCATGGACATATACTATTATCTATTAATAGATCTATTTTACAGTATTTTTCGGTTTATGTGCAACCAGATGACAAGAATAAAATAATGTTATAATCTATTTTAGTATTTTTAATTTTACAGTTGGGATATAGAAGAACAGTCGATAGACAAAATAATTTCTTTAATATTTCAGTACATTTCAAATCATTTAATTTCTATAATTTAGAAATATAAAAACAATAATTAAATGATTTGAGGTGTGGAGGATGATTATTATTATATAAGGGAGAATCGGTCTTTTTTAATGTAAAGTCTAGCCTAAATTAATCATCTTTGATAACGTCATGTGATTACAGTCAATCATTTTTCATTTATCATATATTTTCTTCTATGTTTGTACAATTTAATATTAGTGCTTTTGCTTCAACTTTTAATTATCTTCAAACATACTTATTTGCCTGAAGAAAAACGCTGTATTTTTAAGTAAATATACATTTTATTTTACGTAAAAAAACTTTCATGTCAAAGTCTTATCACTAATGGTTTTGTTACCATATTGTTACTAACTTCAGTACACTATTTCCGGAGACTTTAACGCTAGTCCATTATATACACATTTCTCATTACCTGGTGACTACCTCTCGCTCATCCATAATGCCTACCAACTCAGCCAAAACTTCACCACCCCTCACCCGTTCAACTTCTTCGTCGTCTTCAATCACATCAACAAACTTTAAATCTACCGATGAGCTTTTTAAAGCTATAACCCAGATCCAACAGTCACAAGATAAACTATTGGCGAACCATAAAGCTCTTAGTAAAGAAATAAAAGACGGTTTAAGCTCACTTACTTCTCGATTTGACACTCTCACTATAGAAATTAGAGACCTTCGTGGTAAGGTTGAAATTCTGGAATCTAAAGTTCTAACTCTGGAAACAAACACTCCTAAAACCGCTCCTCTCTCCTCGGTTACCGAAGTGATTCAAGAACTTAATGATCGCGAGCGGTGCAAAAATAATATTATTACTTATGGTATACCTGAGTCTACTTCATCAGACCTCTCTAATAAAATAAATGATGATAAAATGTTATTATCGGATATTTTTGCTAAATTTTCCCTCGAAAACACAAAAGAATTCAAACCAATTCGTCTAGGTAAACCTTCCAATAAAGGGCCTCGTCCTGTTAAAGTAATTTTTGAATCGCATGAATCTGCCTCATCAATACTAACGGCTTATCGGGAGGCCAAAACAAAATCCTTAAATCTTCTTCCTCTTACAAGCTTGGTTCGTGACAAAACTACCTTGGAGCGTCAATTACTTCGTGCATGTCATCTTGAGATGGAACAACGACAAGCTGCAGGTGAGACTAACTTAACAATATCTTATTCAAATGGCGTACCAAGTGTTCGTTCAAAAAACATATTCAGAGGACATCAACGTCCTCGAAGCTAGGTGATAAAAGGGACTCGTTTAACCTTCTCGGATATTATCAAAACTGCCGTGGTCTGCGTACCAAACTCACAAATTTTAAATGTAATACATCTTGTTTTGATTATATATTCATTGTACTCACAGAAACTTGGCTTAATAGTAATTTTTTCTCCCCTGAATTAGGTTTAGTTAATTATAATATCTACAGATTTGATAGATCACCTACAACAAGCTCTTTCGAAAGAGGTGGCGGTGTTCTTATTGCCATACGCAAAGACATTCCTTCCTTCCCTCTCTCTATTACAGAAAATAGTATTGAACAACTATTCATCCATTTTAACATTAACTCAAATAATTTTATACTCTGCGGTGTTTATTTCCCTCCTCAATCTCCAATTGAATTATACAAAACTCATCTTAACTCAGTTGAATCCATATCACAACAATATCCATCCTACTCCTTAATCTTCTGTGGTGATTATAATCTCCCATTCATTTCATGGACTAATGACAATCATGGACTCTATTACTCCTCAACTTCCTTATCACAGTACTTATGTGTGCCTGAAACTTTTTCTTTTCACGGTTTTTACCAAAACAATAATATACCAAATGCGCAAAGAAATATTCTAGATTTAATTTTCACTAACTCTAAATTTGCATCTGTCGACCTTGCTCCTATATCTGCCGTCCCTCCAGATACCTTTCATCCACCATTGGTTTATTCCCTCAACCTGCCATCAAAATTACTAACAAATATTACTACTTCTTCTTACTTTGATTTCAATAAAACAAATTTTACTGGTGTCATCCAGTTCCTAAATTCTTTTAATTGGGAACTCACGTTTCAATCACTAGATATGAATGACGCTATGGACACTTTCCTAGATGCCTTACACTTTTCTATCCTTACTTTTGTTCCCAAAAAAATTGTTAATTACTCCACCTTTCCTCCCTGGTTCAATCCGGAACTCAGAAAACTTGTTTTCTTGAAAAAATCAGCCCATGCTAAGTATAAACTTACCTCATCACTTACGGATTATACAAATTTCTCTCTTTTGCGAGCTCGCTACAAATTTATGTCTAAACTTTGCTACCGTGACTACATTTCCCGTACAGAATCATCTCTTTTAACTAACCCTCGTTCATTTTGGTCTTTTGTGCGCCGAACCCACTCACCTCAAACATCACCTACGCGTGTGGTATTTAATAACATTTCTAGCACTTTGCCTAATGAAATAGCTAATATTTTTTCTGACTATTTTTCTACCATAGAAACCCCTTCTCTAAAATCTTCATCTTTCCCAACACATTTTCTTCCCACATTCTCCTTCTTACCTTCTAAAATTGAATTCACTATCAATGATGTAAGTAAATTCCTATTTTCTCTCCGTAATAACAAAACTATTGGTCCTGATGGAATACAAGGCCACTTTCTATCTATCCTAAGTGATGTTATTGCCTGGCCTCTATTCCTGTTATGCCGTAAATCTTTTGAATCCGGACTCTTCCCCTCCTCGCTTAAGCTAGGCTCAATTTCCCCGATCCTTAAATCTGGTGACCCGTCTCAAGTAAGTAACTACCGTCCAATAACAACACTCTCTCATATATCCAAATTATTTGAAACTATTGTTATAAATGCTATCCGTCCTATACTTAATAATATTTTATGTGATGAGCAACATGGATTTCGGCCTGGACGCTCCACAATAACTTGTAACCTCATACTCTCATCCTATATATATGATTCCTTCAGTCAACAAAGTCAAGTTGACGTAATTTACATGGATTTCTCAAAAGCATTTGATAAAGTAGACCACAGAATTTTAATACACACTCTAGATACTCTAGGTATTGGAGATCCTCTTCTTGCCTGGTTTCATTCTTATTTATCTAATCGTCAATACTATGTTTCTACTTCCAATTCAACCTCAAATACCTTCTATAGATCTTCTGGCGTACCCCAAGGTGCAATTCTTTCTCCTCTTCTATTTGCCCTTTTCATAAATTCCGCTCCATCAATCCTCCATAATGCAAAATTACTAATATTTGCTGACGACATGAAACTTTTCCTCCGTATCAAATCCATATCCGACTGCCATCTACTACAAAAAGATCTACTGCGATTTACAAACTGGAGTGAATCCCTCGGCCTTTCTCTTAATATTAAAAAATGTTCTATCATGTCATTCTTCCGACGTAGTCCTCATATCGTTTTTCCTTATTCCGTAAATAACATT